CCCCAAAACCCCAAAACCCCAAAACCCCAAAACCCCAGGCTAATAAAAGTGTGCTGAATATAATCTTCATTTATTGGATAATTCAATCCCAACCTGATGATGATTGGCTATATGTGGAAGAAGTTCTGGAAGGTGTAGGAACAGATCTGACAGGTTGAGGAGGAGGTGGGAGTCTTCTCTTGATCAAAGTCAAGTCCATTGTTTTAGCCTCTTTTAGATCAATTCCATGGTTCTTTACATCAGGAAACTTGTTTCAGAGCGTTTGGAATTGGTTTTCAGAGTATTTCGTGAAAAAATTTCTGATAGCTTTGGAAAGAAGAATCTTATGTAAGAACTCTAAACATTTTGCTTCATCATCTCTATCCCATCTTTTATCTATATCCCATATCTCTAACAGAAATAAAGGACATCTCTTTTTATTATTTTTGCCAATTGACATTATGCTTGTGCATATCTCCATTCGGATCTGATTTATCACAGTTGTTTTCACTTAGTCCACAACAATAGCACCAAGCAGTACCACAATGGGGGCATTTCATACTAGTACAAGCTGTATCTTTTATGCCTTTTGCATGACACCCAGGACATTCTCTTTGATGCCCTTGATCAATAGCTTCGTCCCAGTCTTCTTTCATAGTTTTGTATTTGAAGCACTCATGGTGCTTAAGAATTCCATCTTTTTCCATCTTGGTTATCTCTTCTGGAGTGAAGCCTAGTTTGTCCGGAACCTAAGTTAGTAATAACTTGAAGTTAGTAGTTCTTCCCAAAAATGTGTAATAGAAAAGCTGTAGATATGGTCTTGAAATTGAATATAAAGGGAGTCAACTTGTTCAAAATGCCATCCAGAAGGTACTGTCTAAGAGGAGAAAGAAGTATAAGCATATGCTTTAATGAGAAGGCTGTGAATGACTAAAAGCAGAGAATTAAGGTTCTTTTTGATGAAGAAACTTGTGCTTGTTCTAGAATAAATATGACTAAGTGCAGTAATACCTTGCAATATTGATGGTGCAAAAAGGAAATTCTCAAATAATTTAGATATGAGGATCATAGGCAGTCAACAAGTTCTCCAGATATTTACAAAATACTAAAACATAGCAAGGAAGGAAAAAGTATGATAGAACCTTAACTAGAAGAGAGATACATTCAGAGCTATAACTATAACAATGCTTTACTCTTTACTATGCAAAGCTCCTCAATTTAAAACTTTAATCTAGTTCTAAATTCATCTAATTTGAAAATATTGATGAAATCTGACAAAATTATAACTAAGCTGAAACTAAAGAAATCCAATAATTTTGATAGAAAAATCTCTTACCTTAAATTCCTTGAATCAAATCCGACAGCTTCCTTTATTTGCATTCCTTATTTGGACAATAAAGCAGATTATTGGTCGAATTTTTAGCCCAGACTGAAACAAAGTCTCAGTATGGACAATTCACTATTTCAAATTTGTCTTTACCTAGGACTTCAATAGCCTGGTACATTGCAAGTTTCTCCCTTTGAGACTCGCTCATTCTGGAAAAGATCTTCTCTAATTCAAATTCTTTATGGCATTCATAACACTTGTAAGGAAGTCATATATCATAGTTTGTTATTCCACTTTCAATAAAGCTCTTAGCTCATTCAGGACAAAAATAATGCCCAGATGGACATTTCAACCCCATCTTTCTTACTTTCTTCTCATAAAAGCACAAGAGACACTTCAGGGTCTCTTCGGAAGACATCGTTTCAGCTTGACTCTCCATTAATATAGAATATTATACTTCTCAACTGTCTTCCTTATATCTGGGGTTTTGGGGTTTTGGGGTTTTGGGG